GGTACAACTGCTATTAGGATCAAGCCACTGTGCCATGAGGAAGTGAAAGCAAGGGTGTGGAGAATCCACAGTGGGGTCCTGAATCTGAGCTAACTCAGAATCAACCACCAAAAATGTGAATAAATAAGCCTTCAGATGATTCCTATTACCAACCAGCAAATCTTTTTAGCTGAAACCCCTGATACCACGGAGCAGAAAGAAATCATCTTCACTGAATGCTTTTTAAAGGAAAAAGGGTATTAGGAAATCCACAGAATCCATGATCATGATAAAATCATTATCATTTGATGGAACAATAAGATGTACAGGCTTATTTTGCAGTTCTTTACTCTAGCCTTAGAATCAATCATTTCTCCAAGGAGATCTATAAACTTTTAGTGGGGAACGGTGTTTAAAAAACATTTGACCACTACGTGTGTTTGTGTTTTATGCTAACCTACATGCATATCTATTTCCTGGCTTTGGCAATTTCAATTCCCTCCTAATGCATTTCTCCACTATTAAAACAACAGGTGTGTATGCATGTATGTAAGGTATCTTTACTTTTTCTCTCTAGGAAATAAAGTCTTTTTTCATAAATGTGCATTTCCAATCTTTTTCCCCAACTTTGTTAACCTAAAGCAATAATGCAGTTCATTTATTAATTTATAGACATCATAATTCTGTCCAGGCCAAATACACATACACATACACTCACATACATATTTTATGCCACAGATAGCTTTACTAGGAAACTAAACAGTTAAGTACATTCTGAAAATTGAAATACCATGAGAGTCAATTGTGCAAATCTGTTTTTCTATGATAAATGACTATACAAGACCTGAATTACAACAGTATAGCATGATTTAGAATTATATTTAGACAGTCCCCTATGTCAATAGAGAGAGTTAGATTTAGTCAATGTAATTTTAATTTTTACTAAAAATGCAGGTTCTTAACTAAGCCACATTTTCTAACAAAATTCAAGATAGGGTTATGAATATAGACAAACCTTGGCAAAAATGATATAAATAGTCAAAGACTAATGAGTAGAATTTTATGTCAAAAATAGTGTTGGAGGGACACAGATTTAATACACATTCCCTATCTCGAGGAGTTTACTGTCTAGTGAAAGAAGTAGATGTGTAACTAATTAAAGTACCTTATGATGAAGGCACTAGTAGTGACACGCATATAGTGGCTAGATGTGCAAAACTTCTCCCCCCAGGTAGTGAGGGCAGTGTTTAATGGGAAGGAACTCCTATCAAGCTCCTTGAAGCAGATCAGACAAAGTAGGAAGCCACCTGCAGAATACTTTATAACTAGCGTTCTTATTCTGGGAGTATTTTTACCTCAATGAACTGATATAAACACAGCTAAGTTGCAGAACCAGAAATATGTTCAAAGCAGCCAAGTTCATAACAAGAAGAATAATGTCAATGTCTGAGCTAGTCTCTGAAGAGCTGTTGTTTTCCTATATTTAAAAACCAGAGCTTTTAATCCCTTCAAATTATGACTGTGAATTTAAAAAGAGAGAAAGCAAAAATGGCATCATTTTCTTACCCTGAAAACAGTTATTATGCTAATAATTTACTCTTATCTTGCTAACATGATAAGTCTTCAGAACATATCATTTAAGGAAAATGTACTTAATTAGAAATCTATTTCTACACTGGCAGAGTGTGTGTAACATACTGTGTTTTTTTTTAAAAAAAGAAAGTCAGCAAAATTTCTCACGCTGGTTCTCTGTTTATGGAACAAGGTGGAGAATTATAATTAACAAGTCTTCTTTATCCACATTTTTAAAAAATTTCACATTTCTTTAAACCATTTATGGATTACTTATTACCTCAATTTTGTCTGTCTCTCAGGAGTGTTGACTGTATTTAGACTGATTACATTTTAGTGCATTTTAAGATACTAAAGATAAGATACTAAAGTAGGAAGCCATATAATGTCTTCTACATCAAGTTAAGTCATAAAATTATTCAAAGCTACAGATAACTTTTATTTTAAAATAGTTGTTTCATTTCATTATACTGAGTTCTAGGACAAATATCATTGGATAAATATACTGTAAACATTTACATTTCTTTGCAATAATGTGAATCACAAGGCTAAATGCCTTTGTATGGCTCTAAATATTTATCCCCATATGCTAGTAAATACACTCAAGGACAAGAGCAATCATTCTCAGTGTTCACAATTAGTAAGAGCTGATTAACCTAGAAAAATAGGTATTTCCTATGTACAACAAGACAGTGCAGAAAGAAAAAAACCTGAATATACCATCAAACTTTCTCTCATACACATATATATAGAGATATATATAGTTATATGATAATATATTAAAGTATATATAGATATATAGTTATATGATAATGTATTAAAACATATTTAATACATTATATATATCACAAGTGTTGAGGACCTCAAAGCAGTTCTAACTCTTGCTACTTGTAAAGGACATTGTGAAATGGGAAGTCAGGATAAAGTAAAGTCCTTAAAATTCAGAGTAAAGGAACTTTAGTCACCCTCAGAAAGTAACTCTCACTCCATGAAATGTCCTGGCAAAAGAGAAAGCTTTTTTCCTTCTCTTTTTAGTCAGAGAGCTGATTAACACTGAAATTTAAAAATCTCTCTCTGATTATAATACTTTATAATTACAGCTTTGTTGTTATTGTTGTTATTCCCAGTATACTCAAGCTGTTCTTTTAATAAGGTTCTTCAATACTAAGTCACTATTTTGTGTTTTCACCCCTAATCTGCTTAATCCAATTAAATTTTACTTCAATTCCTGTTTAGAGTAAACTTTATGGAGTATCACTTTATCTCAATCTTCCTGAATTTTCATAAATCAGTACTAGATCAAAGATAAACAGAAGTATTTGGAAGGAAAGAAAAAACACAGCATCTGAAGACTGTAGCCTAAAATATAAACTTACAACAGATAAAAGGAGACAAAGCTCTGATACAAAAATATATCCAAATAATAGGAAAGAGTGTATAAACTGAATGTCATGGACACATGAATTTCAGCAAATGACAGAAAACAAATTAAGAGAGAATAAAAAATTTGAATTAGAATATAATTAGGACATGTATCTTAGTCATATCTGGCTTACAGTTTCATCAGATGTTTACAAAGAAGGGTTTGAGCATTTTACACATAAAATCTCCTAACATTAAAGCTAAATAAGTATTTGTAGTTGCTATTATGTGCATGTGCATGAATGTGTCTACATATATTTCTGAATATATGTTAAAAAATATATACAGTATATATACAGTATAAGCAAACACTTGAAAAAATAAATACACATAATACAGATATCCTTGAAATCTCCTGAATTATTTTCCAATATAAACAAGAAGAATTTTTGAATCTGATGGACTCTGTGGCCATTTTCAAACAAGATATGGAGGCCAGGGCTGGCAGGCCAAATAAGTAGCACTTCTTAAAGACTATCACTGCCAAAGAGCACTTTTGTTAGTTTGATATCATGTTTTTTATTACATATTTTTATGATACAGCTTGAACTTATTATGTTACAGAATCATTTGGCAAAACATTGGTTCTCCATTTGCTGGTATAGTTGCATAATCCAAAAGTTGAACACAATGCTTTTTTCTTAGCTGGTCTGAAAATCACTCATAAGTTAATAAAAAAAACTTTAAACATTAAAGGTATCCATTTTATGTGCTTTTCTTGCACTGGTCCTTTACAGGCTTAGACTACATTTTAAAAATCTTTTTATACCCAGCACTGGGCATAATACAAGAAACATACTAGGTCCCCAAAAAATGTTTGCTGAAGACTCAATTGAGAAAGTTGTTGGTTCACTTTTCTCCATACATCATTTTAAAATCAATACTATATTGATTTGAAATTGAATAAAATAAAATCATACACAATACAGATATTACCATAGTAAATGATTAGTTTTTCCTTGATTTTTTTCTATCACTATTATAATAAAGATACCAATTGCTATTGAGTATCTATTCTCTGGCAAGGGTTACTTTGCTTGGACAGTGGACAGAATCTTGGATCTGTACTCAAAGAGCTCACAAGTCTTGTGAGAGCAATTCTAGCACAATATTTTACATTCTGAGATGGAGCTAAGGACAGATGCACAAAGGAAGTGCTCAAATTCATCTCTGTAAAGGGGAGTTAAGGTCAATTTTCAAAAGAAAATAATATCCTAAATAACATGTCTTACTATGTTTAACCTCAGGGTCTAAAAATGTTCAAAAATTAAGAAATATTTAATGACTACTTAATCTAAAATGATACTTTGACAATGTAATATAATTTCACTATTATTCCCTGTAGTGTCCTTCTTGACTAAAAAACAAAAAAAAAATCTTCTCCTATACTTGAACAAACCAGGGATTGTTCAGACTTAAAACAGCATCATCTCTTCTTCAACTATTAATGTCCTTTTTTTAAAGTATAAAACATTTTGTCAAGTAGGATGGAATTTAAGTTTCTTTTTAAAGGACTTTTTAAATGATTAGAATGAAATTAATCTGAATGTGCTATCATATAAAAATTGCCTTTCAGAAAGTTAAGAAAAATGTAAATAGGATGGTATTTTGTTAATCTCCTATTAAGGAAATAAACTGAGGTAAAATTGAGAAATAACCCTGCCCTCTAGTGGTGCTTGATAATGGTTAAAAATATACTGAAAACACCATCATGTTGCTACAGCAAATCTTACATTTACACAAATTTGAGTAGAAATACTAAAACCTTCTATTTTACACAAAAACATTTACATGTTTAAACTAATGATTTGGGATGTTGTTGGAGCATTTCAGTCCCTTCGGAATTTAGTGAAACAGATTGCCCTACATGAATAGTGTCACCATGTCTCTACTTGTGGATGGTATTACCACAATTGAATTAGATTCTCTAATGCAATCTTCTTCCCATTTGAATTTTGAATAAAAATTCACTAAGAAAATATTTACAAAGTCTCACAGTTTGTTTTTCAACCCCTTAACCAATTTACCTTGCCATCCAGTTCTCCACATTGCTCCAAGAAGCCTTCTTCACACTGTGCCTCAGCTTGAGAACTGGTAAATCCATGGCTCTCTTTACTGCACAGTGCTCTGAAGATCTATTAAAAGAATGTAAATTATAAATTTAGTATTTTCTTTTTTATCATTGCAATCTCTATATACTTGATTACATGTTAGATGCCATCTAAAGTGCATTTCTCCCATGGGCTTTTGCTACAAGAAAAGCAATATTTTTTTTTCAGGTGAACATAGCATAATTGTACAAACAAGTTACATTATAAAAGATACATATACTGAAATATAAAGACAGAAACTCTGAAATCTAAAGTATCTGCTCTTTTTAAATTAGCACATATTTTACCTTTGACTGTCATAAAAACATCAGAGCTAGTCTCTAGTTGTGGAATCAAATTAAGAACTATTTGTTATTTTAGAATAACTAAATCAATAACTCCATTTCCAATGAAATAAATGTTCAAAGAGATCTATTGATTTAGCCAAGGTTGTACAGTTGATTTGTTGCCTGGTTCACTTAAAAGCATTACATATATACATATGAAGTTCGTCACTCAGTTGTTTCCTATTCTTTACAATCCCAAGGACTGTAACTCACCAGGTTCCACTGTCTATGGAATTCTCCAGGCAAGAATACTGGAGTGGGTTGCCATTTCCTTCTCCAGGGGATCTTCCTGACCCAGGGATTGAACCTGGGTCTCCATACACATAATCTTTTGGTTGAATGCTACTTTCAAATTGCCACCATACCTACAAGTATGACTTTCTATGGTTCAGAATTGTGTCATATCCACATTTTTATCCCAAGAATCTCTGACTATGTTGCTTCACAGAGCAAATGATAAAAAAGATGGAAGGATTATTTTGGATTAGGTCCAATGTAATCACCAAGTGACTATTAGAGAAAAGCAGGAGGATCAGAACCAGAGAAGAAAGGATGACAAATGACAAGTGCAGGGGAAAGAGAGAGAGAGATGCGGAAAATATTGTGCCTTGAAGATAGGGTCATGAGCCGAGGGATGTAGGAAGTCTCTCAAAACTTAAAAAAAAAGAAACCTCACCTCAAGCGTTCAGAATGAACATGGTCTTGCCAACCCATTTTAGACTTCTGACCTGAAGAGTTTAAGATAAATTTGTGTTGTTTTATGCCAGTAAAATTTGCTGCAATTTGTTACAGCAGTAATAGAAAACTAATACAACCCTAGATTACAAATTCCATGATGTCTGGAATTATTCCTTCTCTTTTACTTATTCCATTGATCGTCAAAGTATGGTGCCTGAATTCAGCCTCAGCATCATCTGTGAGTGTGTATGTGTGTTAGTAGCTCAGTCCCGTCCGACTCTTTGAAACCTCATGGCCTGTAGTCTGCCAGGCTTCTGGGACTAAATGGTAACCAAACCATTCCAACCTAGAAAAAATTAATCATAGACACCAATACAGGGGCTCAGAAATCTGTGTTTTGCAAAGCCTGCTAAGTGACGAATGCTGTTTGTGAACCACTGACTTATAAAAAGTATTTCCTTTACAGAGTAGAGGGAAGAACACAGAGCTGGGAGGTAAATATATATTTGGGTGCATAGAATTACTGAATTTTATATCTAACAATCAGCACCTTGGCTGTCACTTCTCACTATGGTTAATTGATTAATACAAGTATTCCAAAAGACTTCTTAAATGAAGAAATAGGAAACATAAAAATTCCCCTCTCCACCATGCACTTTCCCATTAAGAAGAGGAAATGGGACAAAGAAAGAAGTTAAATCTAGAGCAGCTGGTTGAATAGTGTATATACTTCCTGATCTACCAAAATAAGACTGGGAGATAGGTGAGAGTGGACAATTTTTTTCATTAATAGTGTGTGTATTTAACGTGTCAAATTAATAAATTAAGGTTCTAAAGAATAACACTAACAGTTATATTTTTGGTTCTTTTTAAATATATAGGTATATGTGAAAGTACTCTCTATGAAATACTCAACCACACAGAAACAAACAGAGAAAACTAAAAATAACTCATCCCAGTCATCACTTTCCCAGAATCCTTATTCTGGCTGTAATCATCCTTAATGCTTTTACAGTTTTAAGTGCATGTTTAGGATTATGAATTTATATCAAAGCTCACTCTTACCACTCACTAATCCTCCCACCTAAAGGAATGCACTCATGTTTGAAGATTTATTATCTCTATACAGGTAATATAGCTATTATGCATGAAGAAAATAATTTTATAAGGAAATAGAATGTTTGTGTGTATGTTTAAATGTATAAAATAAAATATATTCATGCAATACAATACATGTATATTATATAGGGTTTCCCAGGTGACACTAGTGGTAAAGACCCTGCCTGACAATGCTGGCCGGCCTGGCAGGCTACATACAGTCCATAGGGTCGCATGGACATGACTGAAGCAACTTAGCCTAAAGAGCATGTATATGTTATATATATATTTCTTTGTCATAAAGCTCTTTCTATTTTGCAATATTTAGGTAGATCTTATTCGTTTTATTGACTATATATTTCTCTAAGTATTGGGCATCCTAAAATGTATTATTAATGATTGCTGCACATTTTTACTCATGATTGATGCACATTGAAATGCTCCAAGTTTTCAGAACTGTTATACACACAGACATATAAACAGATATACATATACATTTCCCTGGTGGTTCAGATGGTAAAGAATCCACCTGCAATGCAAGAGATGCAGGTTCAATTTCTGGGTCGGAAAGATCCCCTGGATAAGGGAAAGGCAACCCACTCCAGTAGTCTTGCCTGGAGAATTCCATGGACAGAGAAGCCTGGTGGGTTACAGCCCATGGGGTTGCAAAGAGTCAGCCACAACTGAGCAACTAACACCTTCACTTTTTATACCCTAGTGCAATTACATATTCCTATAGAACAGACTTATGTGCAAAGTGTTTGGGAGTCAAAATATACTTTCATGTAATATTTGACTGAATGTCACTAAATTGACTCTCAAAAAGACTTTGTAAGTTTATACTGACACAAAAGAGATAATGAAAATGAAAGACAATGGCTTATGTTTAAATTTAGGCTTAGATAGTGAATCTTAACAAAACTGAATTATATAAATGTTTTTTCTATTTTTAAATCACACTTCAATGATTACTTCTGTAATGTATATTTTTAAAATTTCCCAGGTTTTATAAAATCATATTTTGGTAGACTTTAGAGTAGGAATGATATCTATTAAGATAATATCTTTATCCCTGAAATCCCCCAACTATCCTAGTACCAGTACCACTTTGCCAATGGACTGTAATGTGTCAGTGAATGTTGTTATTATTGTGTCTGCTCATTGCATACTTTCTAAAATAATTGAAAACAGGTGCATCTAGACAATCACATAAACAATATAATTCCTCTACACACCTTTGACCAATGCATAATAAAGTACAAAATGCACCTTCAAAACCCAGAGGACTTACAGGAAATGTAATGTTGGATTAGATGAACTGGTAAGTGCTTAATATTAATTGTCATTACAATTTAATTTTCATATGAATGTTAAACTAAGGGTCTAAATGGATGGTGAACAAGAACATTAGAGTATTTTTAATATTTAGACAACAAAGATTTTTCTGTACATTATTTTGAATGTTTTGGAGAAATCATGGCAATTCCTCAAATAAATTAACTAATTAATTAATTTATATCAATATATGCAGAAGGGAAGAATCTTGTCTTATAAGTTGTATGCATATTCAATACATGTTTGCAAGATGAAATCCAATCAAAGAAATGTATTACCAAATTCTAAACTTTATTTGAATTAAAATAGGAAAAAGGTATATTTTAAGATGGGAAGAAATTTGTAACTATTTTTTTTATTTAATCATTTAACATTTCCCATTATAGACATTTTCCATGACAGCAGGAACCTTATTATTCTTGTTTAGAGATGTTTGATCAATGCCTAGCACATAATATGTGTTTAATAAACACCTTGAATAAGTGGAGGGTTGTATGCTTCAACAGTAACAAAGTAAATGGTCTCACCATTTTTTTACTTGTATTAACTATTATTATTAATGCCAGTTAATTTAGCAGATGGGACATTAACCTAATTATAGTTTTAAATGAGTACTGGTGAAGTTGAACAACTTTCCATATGTTTATATATAAACATATTGCTCATGTCAAATTGTTCATATGTTTTGTCTTTATTTACTAAGGCTGTATTTTATTTAATTTTATTTTTAATTAGGTTGATTCTTGTCTGTATTAAACAAATTAGCTACCTATTGTTCTGAGCAGTCTGCTGTCCTTTAGTAAGTAAGGTATCTCTCTCACTGAAAGTGTTTTTAGTAATAATAAAATTAATATGTTTTACCCAGGACAGATGCTTAACAAGTTTGAGTTTAGGAAGAGGAGTACATGAAGGTTAGGTAGATAGCAAGCTTCTTTTCTCCCATGCATTCCTAAACAGGACAAATAATTTACTCTTTTATATTCTGTGAATTAGTTTTAAGGGCCAAGAAAAATATATAAAGCTGCAATGTAAAACCTATACTGCAAAGGTGAAAGTTTCTACTAGAATATTTTGATCTATAAGTAAATTGAAAGCATTATTTTTTGTCAGGAAAAAAACACCTTGAGAAAGATGAAATCAAAATGAGTGGAAAATGCATTTTAATTACTTGGATTCTGCTAGATATAATAAGAGCTTCACTTGGGAAAGTCAGCCAATATTTTACAGAATGTAGAAATGCAATGAAATTTACACTGCCATAGATATGATTTAAAACTGCTGAGAGCCTTAATATGAAACCAAAGTAGATGCTATTTGGAAAATGGGCTATTTCAGGAAGATCTTTCTGGCACAATTAGGAGCCATTATTTTGTATTCCTTCAGGTTTGATTTCATGAGTAAAGTGAAATTCACATTGTGTTAACACATTCAAAAAGGTGGGGAACTGCTTAGGAGAGTAAGAAGTAAACACAATCCATCTGGGCATAGCCATATTTTCTAAATAATTTCATCCATAGTAGTATGTGCTAAGTTGCTTCAGTTTTATCCAACTCTTTGTGACCCTATAAACTGTAGCTGCCGGGCTCC